GTCGTAACATTTAGGGTCGCCGTAAAATTGTCGACAAATCAATATGGACGGATTTGAACACATGTGGCGATAAAATGCCGTCTGCTCTTGCTTCGTTGTGCTGCTTGAGAAGGACATAAAGATACTTCAGTTAAATGTATGCAGGGCGACTCTCGGGGGGGGGGGCTTTCCCATTGTAATTGTTGGCTGTAGCCCCAGAGCATTCTGGAACTTGTGCTATTGTCATCAATGGACCGCGGCAAGGAAGCCGGTGCACATTTCCTGACACACTAGACATTGCTCACGCGGCGAAGTGTGAGGGAGTCTTAGGGGCTGTTTTAGAACTTTTGTGTTGGCTGGCGTCCAAGTCCCCGGCCCTGTGTCCCACTTCGTCATTGACCTACCTTGCCGGTGTTGCTCATTATGGTCTGGAGGCTAAGGCAAAGTTGGGTAAACATAGCTTCGTTGCCTTGACCTAGACCAAGTCCTTAAAGGATCTCCTCTACTGGCGGAGGCCTCTCTCTCCGTGGTGAGGGCCAGTTCTCTGCTCCAGCGCCTGCTAAGTATTCCTACAAATCCCTGTCAGGGCCTGACAGACAGCAGACATGTCCGTCTCCCCTCGCTGAGCTGGATACCACGGGAGACAAAAGCACACAGCAGAGAGCAAAGCGGCTTTCATGCGCCAGGGAATAAGATGAGCTGAGGAGTCTTCTTGGTCGTAATTAAAAACCTTGAACCAGGTCCAGAAGATATTTGTGTTCATTCCTCTGTTCCTTTTTAATAATATTGTTAATAAACTGAAAGCCATTTCAGACTTAATTAAAACGGATGACTTTGACATGTCTCTCTCTAGGGGAGCGAAGGTGAATAATAACGCCGTCACTGTCTTTAATAATCCCTGCTTTCCTGCCACATGTGTCTTCCTTGGCAATTATGGCTCCATGGCTGCCGAAATCCTGGCTTTCCTTTCTCTCCGGGGCTTCCTTCAATGCAGTGTGACTTTCAGCTGATTGGAGGGGTCTGTTTGCGGGTGGCAAATGACTCTGGCTCGTTATGTAACAGCATACTACATGTAGAAGAGGTCCGTCTTCCAGCTGCCTGCCCATGACAAGGTTATGTGGGACCTGGTACTATGGTAGCATCGGCTATATTCTTCGCATGGTCTGCTGGGGGTGCGGGAGCTCAGGAAGGGACAGGAAGAGACTGAACAAACTGGTCAGGAGCGCTGGCTCTGTGCTGGGCTGCTCTTTGGACTCCACTGAGGAGGTGGCTGAGAGGAGGATGCTGGGAAATTTACATCCATTATGGTCAGTCCCTCTCACCCCCTGCATGGCACAGTGAGGACATTAGGAAGCTCCTTCAGCAACAGACTACTGCATCCAACATGCAAGAAGGAACGCTTCCGCAGGTCCTTCATTCCATCTGCCATCAGACTGTATAACACCTCAGTCACCTAAAGTTCATAAATTATGTAACTATTCTGTATATCGTGCAATATCCGCTGCATAGGTATACAACTATATTCACATCACTTGGTGCAATCTGTATTATTTTGGGTCTGTGCAATATGTGTAATTGTGTGCACTAATCTAAAATAAAGATCCAGACCAAGATTTAGTTTCAACCAACCAGGTGAGTATAAAGAGTCACAGTCACAGATACTCAGCTGGCTGGTTGAAACAAAATCTTGGTCTGGATTTGGACTTTCTGGATCTGGAACTACCCACTTCTTACATAGAGCCTTTCACGGGAGGCACAGGGCACAGTGTCACTAAGGATAATTCAAAGATGCGATTTAGGCTTACTGTACGTCTTTGGACCGTGGGGAGCAAATTGGAGACCAAGTTCAGAACAAGTCGGATACAAAGACCAAATCCTGAGGCAAATGGCCAGCAACTGAGCCAACAGGTTGCCCTAAATTGCACGTATAAACAAAAAAACGAAAGGATGTATCATCCTCATGTAGAAAGGTTAGTGTACTTGGTTTTTGTGCCTGTACGCTTCCTGACGTCCCTGTTCACATTCTCACTCCTTAAACCGCATCCTCTCCAGGGTGAACCCCAGCCTTGTACTCTATGCTGCTTGGGACAGCCTCCAGAACCAGGGTGGATGGATTTTAAATCAGAGGGTGTTTGATAAAGGATGTACAGGAGGCCTGCTGTGAATGACAGCGGGATGGAGTGAATGGAAACCCCCACCACTGTGACGAAGGTGTTTCACTCTGGACAAAGGATGCCAGACTTTGCCATGATCCGTGGCGTATCTGTGAGAGATGCCACTGTCTCCAGTAGCTGGAATATTTGGGGGGCATCAGAGGTGGTTAGGAACACAGCGAGTACCCATTTCTTAGTCTGGTTAGTGCTTTCATTAGACATTAGATCATCACG